TGGAAATAAAACTTGCCTGAGAGGGTAAACCGGCGGCAGCCGTGTGGTGAGTCACGCTATGAGGAGAAACTGGAGGAGCTCACCCAACACAGAGAGGAAAAGCACAAGCAGAGGAGGTTGGCGGGAGCCCGGAGACTGAGGACACAGCTCCTGGGTAGTTACTGCTCCTCCGGAAACGCTGTCGGGGAGGGAGTGGAAGCACAGTAGCCCGTGCTCCAGCTGGACTTCCCTGGCTGAAGGAAATCCTGCATGCAGATCCTGAGAATCACCAAAAAAAGGGCAAAATTCATGAGGGACTGGCACCTAAATGTTAGCCTTTAAAATTTTTAAATTTGAAGCTTGCAAAAGAAGTTCTGCAAACATATAGATTGTGGAGAAAATGCACTACAAAACAACAATAATTAGGCCTCAGATCTGTCCTTCCCAATACTAAACGTCAGAAGGACATACAGATTTTTAGTGCAAAAACCCACATTTTAACAATTCTAAAGGCAGTAGTCAATCATGTTTGAAAGCAGCAGGGAAACGTTACCAAATATTTAAGGTATATAGCATCCATAGAACTCCTGAAAATCGTTTTTTGAAGATGTATCATGATTGACTGAACGATGAATCAAAATCAGTGTGGCCCTAGCTGGTTTGGCTCAGTGGATAGAGCATTGGCCTGTGGACCATAGGGTCCCGGGTTCAATTCCAGTCAAGGGTACGTACCTTGGTTGCAGGCTCCTCCCTGACCCACGCCCTGGTCGGACTCATGCAGGAGGCAACCAATAGATGTGTTTCACATTGATATTTCTCTGTCTTTCCCTCTCTCTCTTCCACTCTCTCTAAAAATTAATGGAAAAGTATCCTTGGGTGAGAATTTTTAAAAAAAGTCAGTGTGGACAGATGGGAAGATGTGATGAAACAAATGTAGCAACATGTCCGTTGGGGATCCTAGGTGCTGGGTACTTGGATGTGTACTGTATGATCCTTGAAATTTTTCTCACTGTTGACTTTTTTCCATAATAAAAATTTGGGCAACCCTTCCCCAAAAGTCCTTATGTAGGACATCACCAAAAAAAAGGGGAGCATGTTTAGTATTTAAATGATTTATTTTGAGTGAGAGAAAGAAAAGGAGAGGGGGAGAGAGAAACATCATTAGCTGCCTCCTGCACACCCCCTACTGGGGATCGAACTCATAACCTGGGCATGGTGCTGACCAGGAATCAAACTGGTGACCTTCACGTGCATGGGATGATGCTCAATCAACTGAGCCACACAGGCCAGGGCTAGTTAAATTATTTAAGTGTATAGCTCATAAAATTGTTGTAAATGGAGGGAGAGAGAGAGAAACATCATTAGCTGCCTCCTGCACACCCCCTACTGGGGATCGAACTCATAACCTGGGCATGGTGCTGACCAGGAATCAAACTGGTGACCTTCACGTGCATGGGATGATGCTCAATCAACTGAGCCACACAGGCCAGGGCTAGTTAAATTATTTAAGTGTATAGCTCATAAAATTGTTGTAAATATGGTTACAAACCAAGATTTTTCTCACCGTGTTTATAACAGTTCTAAGAACTGGAAACCAACTAGTTCAATTACAGGACAACTGTTAAATAACCTGTTAAATAGAAAAGGCAATAAAGTGTTATATAGCTATTGATAGAATTTTTCTATGAAACATCATCTACATGTTGTAAATTAAATAGACAAATAAAGCCCCTGTCTGCATAGAAATGAATAAAAATAAATACCTCAAAATCTTACCATTAAATTATTTCTTTTATTTTTAAACCGGTGACATCATTATTTTTTAATCAGAGAAAAGACCTATTTTCAGTTAAAATAACCTGCCCTATAGAAAAGTATGGAATTTCATACTAGGGACTCTGCAGTTGTCATCTAGACCAGTGACACGAGTGGCAAGCTGCTTTCCAGGCATTGTTCAGAGATCATATTGCCAAGGAAGTAACACAATGAAGAAGTAAAATAAAGCAATCAATTAAACAGATCCCAGAGATTACAGCCTCTCCTGCAGCCAGTCCCACTCCTACTTGTTTGGGGTCTCATCCTCGTTGATTTGCTTTCATGACACCATCTCCTGAGGGACTGACTGCTTGTGTTTCTGTCAGCAAGTTGTGTTCCCTGCTTTGCAGGCTACTGAGGCCATTGTTGCATTGCATCAATTTCATCCCACTTCCAGAAAAACTTCTAATGCAGCGAGGTGTTTAAACGGACTCTGACAGGATTGCCATAACCCTATCACTTCCCACCAAGGAGACTGTTGGAGCCAAGTGGTGAAGCTGTCAGATCTGAGTGAGAAAGTGAGAACCGCTCACCATCTCAAAGATGGGTCCCCTGCTGACCCTTGTGGTTTCTGTGTGATTGAGGTGCACATTGGCAATAGTCCGGGACTTGGGCACACAGGTAAACAACATGTGCCTAAGGGCAGCTAGAAATTTTTTAAATTCATCTTTGCATTAAATGTTTTCCACTATAAATATATTTGGCCAACAGATAGTATAGTTTTGGCAGAAGATAAGATAATGGCGTATCCCTTAACATTTGGAGTGAAGAGGAAAATATAATAACATTGAATAACAAAGGCTTGACATACTTTGAGTGGTTTCAGTCCCCTGGTCTCCCTAGATAATACATTAAAAAAATAGTCATTAATCATTATGTTTTTTTTCCTAGCAGGTACAAATAACATCTACGGTAGCAAGGAAAGTCTAGAAAATGTTTTACTTTTCTAAATCTACAAGTAGCTAACAAGTTGGAATGCATAAATATAATAAAAGAGGAATAACCCTATTACTGAAAACTTTTTCAACCTTGCCTTGATTTTATCTAGCGTTAACACTTAATCTGAGCAAAAGGATTCTTGTTTACCGTTGTATTTTAATGTTGTTCTATTATTGCAGTCAGTAAATATGCTGTGGAAATACGTTGGTAAGAGCAGAAAATGTGGCACAGATCCCAGACATAAAGGGAGAATTGGGCACCACTGATTATCAGAGCAAAGCCAGAGGCAGAAAGAGGGAGGGGATCTAGGCAGTGGGCACGCCTCTCTTTCTGCAGGGGTCTATAGGCTCTGTAAAATCTGACTAGAGAAATCAGAAGTCATCACTCATGGACTCAGAGAAGGATGGAGGACTGTTAATTTCTTCCCTTCCCTAAGTAGGTCATTCAAATTATTTGCCTTTTTCCTCTCCCTTGTCAAGTGGCAGTTTCCTTGGCATCCTGACTCTACTAGCATTGTTAATGCCAATATTTTGGTGATTTTGATTTGCCATCATTCTTATCAACTGTTTTCCACATGGTCTATGCCTGTGAGTGAGTGTGTGTGTGTGTGTGTGTGAGAGAGAGAGAGAGAGAGAGAGAGAGAGAGAGAGAGAGATCAGGTCAATTGCTGACCCGCAATTGGCTCCTATGAGGTCAAGGAAAGTCAGAGCACAGAGAAACCGTGCACTTGGCCTCCACCTGCTGGTGGCTGGCATCACAGCAGCCACGCTGTCAAGTCTATATCAAATCCAGCCAAGGAAGCCGGTTTAAACCACTTACCAAAGGAAAGATAACATGTGTATCTTATGATAGTGAAATTTGATAGGGTCAAGTTGATAGGTGTATAGAGCCGTAGGGGTAAATAAGGAATTCGTGGTTAACATTCTATTTGTATGGAGAGGGTTAGAAAATTACCTTTGGGAACACCACCGATGCTTCACAGAAATATATTCTCTCTGAAGCTATATCAGTTCAGTTGAGAATAAAATCCAATTACTAGTTGTATGTTCTTGGAACATATATGTATGGAAGGATTTGTGTATAATCACTTGGAGGAATAGCCTATCAGATATGATGGTGGCTGCTTTCAGATGTGTGGCAACATGTATGTGTGCAAGTGTGCACGTGCTGGTACTCACTGTCAGTTCACACTGTCTGCATGTACATAGAGTCCGTCTGGTGTGAAGCTATGGAAACCGGTGGGATGGACACTCCATAGTGTGATTTTCCAGACAGATAGAAATCACAAATAACTTAGAATTGTGGCAACACAGCTTGCTTCTTGAATTTAAGCCCACAGGTAAGCCATTGTGTGTGCAGTCTTTAGGTATAGATTCTGATGTGAAGAAACTTGGCGAGGTCCTCAGGGTCCTGAAGAAGCTTGTTCATTTCTCCAACAATAAAACTACAAGGAATTGTTCAGTATTCTTGGAATCAAGATACCCTCCTAATTTATGTTCAACGGCACCAATAATCTCCATTAAAAGGTCAATGTTTCTTTAAAACAAGAGGTGCAATTCTCTTACATAAATGTCTATTATGGAAATGTTTAGTCATCCACCAAATATAAATCTGTTTTCCCACTTCAAAAATTATCAACATTTATAATTCACTTCAAATAAGTATGCCTCAATTCAGGTGAAAGGATTACTTTTCTGAAACCTATGTACTTTAATGACAGGGTAGAAAAAGAGAAATAACTGCTACACAGTGGCTAGTGACACTACTTTGAATCATTGTACACTTTGGAGAGCCAAATTCTCATAATAAGGAATTCTCATAAAAGAAGGAAGTAAATTTCTAAGAACATGAGTATTGCCCTCGCTGGTTTAGCTCAGTGGATAGAGCGTCATCCTGCGGACTGAAGGGTCCCAGGTTCGATTCCAGTCAAGGGCACATGCCCGAGTTGCGGGGCTTGATCCCCAGTAGGGGGCGTGCAGGAGGCAGCCAAGCAATGATTCTCTCTCATCATTGATGTTTCTATCTTTCTCTCCCTCTCCCTTCCTTTCTGAAATCAATAAAAGTATATTTTTTTTTTAAAAAAAAGAGTTGGAGTTTTGCCAAACAGATGGCAGTCTGCTTGCTGTCCCTAAATCCTAGGCCTCCGTAGACTATAAAGAAAGCTTCAACATCTGATGAGCCTCAGCGGAGGGGAGAGAAGAGAGAGCCGAGTCTGACTCTTGCTGCGGCCCCGGAGACACACCCCTCCTGTTGGTTCTGGTTTGCAGGTCCTACCTGGCGCTGATGCTGACCTGACCGATGCAACCTCCGTGCCGGCAGCAGAGGGCGCCCCGGCAGAGGAAGCAGAGAAGGAGCCGGAGGCAGCGCTCCCTGCTGGGGAAGGAGCAAGTTTAGAGGAGCCCAAGGCTGATACCGAAACTGCAGAGGTTGCAGACAGTGACAGAGGTCAACCAGAGGAAACAGAAAGGGCAGCGCCTCAGGTAAGTGCCTGGTGACGTGGGGGTGCTGGGGGATGTGCCCGTTGGCATGCTCTGTCTATTGGTTAATGGCCATAACTCTTGGATGCGGAATAGGTTTGTAGCCATTTTGTGGCATGCTGCTCTGCGGGGGCCGGAGAGGGCGGGGCAGGGAGAGGGGATGGAAATTCTCAGAAAGGGTGGCCACACCATTTTCTCAGTGTCAGTATTCTGGGGTTCCACGCAAGCCCCCAGGGCTACGGTGACTGGGCTGAAATTAAGCACAGATAGAGGTAAAGGAGACGATGCAGTAAAGTGATGGAGAAAAGAATGAAGCACGGACGACAAAAAGGATGAGAGTGGAGGCAGGAGAAAGGGAATATAATAGAATAATGTGAGGAAATGTGTGGATTATGTGAGAAAATGGCCGTAAAGTGCTTAGCCTGGTGCCAACCACATGCTGAGAACCCAATATTAATACTTAAATCATGTTGCTATGGTTATTAATTTGTGGTGGTTATTATTATTAGAGTACCTCCAAATTCACCCCAAATTAGACTTCTTTTACCAAAAGCCCATCCTTATGTTGCACTTTCAAAAGGAAAGTGGGTCATGTGAGCCTTCGGACACATACGTGAAGCTGGGCTTCGCCCGGGTCTGGCTTTCTCAGACCAGTGCTCAAAGGCAGCACAGCCACCTAAGCCCAGACTGTGGAGCCTCAAGCCCAGGGGCCAGAGCAAGCACAGCTCTCCCAACCCCCATGCTGGGATCCTCTACTTTCTAGAAGGTTAACCGTGAAGAGTGGGCTTCATGTATGCTTTCCATTTCTCTGATTATTTTACTCATAGTAAGTTTCCAGAAGTCTCTCCAGGGTTACTCGAAGTTTGAAACTGAATTGCCCCTTTCCTCCCACTAGAAACCCAGCAAGTAGCATTGGTGTTTGGAGAAAGAACTCAATTCTATTCATTGTAATATTTCCTTGTCACTGTGCCAGGAATACTTTTGTACATATTGTTATACTTGTTGAAGGAGTGTATTATTTTCTCCAAATTGAAGAATGGAAGTGCTTTTGCCCACTGACACCTGAGGGAATATAGAACTTATATTATTATTATTAATCTGAAAAGCTAGCAATATCTCTAGACTTTCCTTATGTGAGTTAAATCTCCCTCTCCCTCCTTGCTCTCACCTTTGTCAAAACATAAGGGGGAGGTCTTCATCCTCTGGTCTACTTCCCCAGACAGTAGAGTGTTGGAGTGGTCGGCGGGAGTCATGATCCCGGAAACTGTGACTGGGGTGTGGCTCTGACCATAACCAGCAAGCAGGGGCCACATCTTTACCGACAGTGTGGTTTCGGGCTCTCTGGGAGTCCCATGAGACTCTGGGAGAAAAGCAAATGGACCAGGGCAAGAATGAGCCCCTCCTTGGAATCCCACAGCATTTCCTTTCAGGACTGTCTCCTCCACCCGCCATGACTCCGCCCCCTCCCTGCAGCCTCCTATCCCTCCTCCCAGTTCACACAGAAACCTCACTCTTTCCAAACTGGGTGATTGTTCAAGGATCCAGAAATTCATCCCACGAAGGGTATCTCTCTCAGGAGAGAGAGAAAGAAGGAAGGTCCTGCAAGGCAGAAGGCCCAAGGGCCAGAAAGCCTACATCGGGTTTGGGGGATGAGGGAGGTGGGGAACCTGGGAGCCACGGAGGGTGTGGCAAGGAGGATGTTTCCAAAGGACCACCACGTTTTTCTTTCCCCAGGAGAAGGTCATCCCTGCGGTCATCATAGAGCCCGCTTCCAACAACGAAGAGGAGGGAGCACACGAAATCATGACAGGTGCAGAGTCCCAGGAGGCGACTCAAGACTCGGCCCTTCCAGGCCCCCCCAGCGAGGTGCCCGAGCCGGCTGCTGAGCAGAAGGCCCCTGAGGACTCCCAGCCCGAGCCCTCCGCTCCGCCTGCGAGCCAGGCCTCTCAGGAACTGCCTCCCGGCTTCCTCTACAAGGTCTTTCCATTCTTCGTTTTTTAAATCGGGCGGCCAGTTGTCCTTCCTTTGCTTTGAGGCCCTTCTGCTCACACCTTTGGTTTCCCGATTTTTACTTTTACTTTTTTTTGCCACACAGACTCTTTTTTCTGTACTGCTTTCCCCTCCCTCCCAACATCACATTGCAACAGGGCAGGATTTCTGTGCTGCGGGCAAGGGACCTACAGTGATGTCTTTCCATTTTTAGCCTGCTTTCCCCTCCCTCCCAACATCACATTGCAACGGGGCAGGATTTCTGTGCTGTGGGCAAGGGACCTACAGTGATGTCTTTCCATTTTTAGCAAAGGAGAGTTAAACGCTGTGCCCCTTGGTAGTGATGGGTTCATGCCTTCCACCTGAGTGCCCTCTGCTCCCCACAGGGCTCCGTGGGGGCCTCCCGTGCTGGGCTCACCTGCTCCCGGCTGGGCGCCTCCCGTGCTGGGCTCACCTGCTCACACTCCTCCGAGGGCAGGAAACAGGAGTCACCCATTCAAAGCTGGCATCTGGTTACAGTGCAGGACACAGAGCAGGGCGCCAATGAATATTTTAAAAGAAAGTGGATCAATATGTTAATGGGCTTCTATGAAAAGGAAGAGAGAAAAGAGGCCAGAATTTGTGGGCAGAAGGTCTTGCTCAGAGAGGCCATCGAGTGGTCACATAGAGCCTTCGTACACTGAAGGGTCCTTACAAGAACCAACCCAGCAGACACCGAGAAACACAGGCTTCAACCACCTGTGAAAGGCAGCGAATCCTCCGTAATAGAACATTGTTGGGAATTATAAGTCCCATCGTTTGATTTTACATGTCAAATTTCAGCTCTTTGTCTTTTAAGAAGTATTAAATTTTTGTTTGTGGGGGTGGGATTGACGAGTCGTGGTCTTTTTCTTCTCTCTGCTTCTTAGGCAGTAACTGCTGCTACATTGCTACCTCCCAGGGGGACAGGGTGGGTATAATGCATTTAGGAATGAATTATGCGAAGACAACACTAAGCCTGTGGCAGGTGAAGGCATGTGTCCCACTGTGTTTTGTGTCAGAGAACAAGGAATCAGGGTGCAGGCTGCCACTGGAGGCCGGGCCCGGCTGGGCCCTCCAACCTCCTCACTGACCACGTAACCCCTCTCTCTGGGTGTCAGTATTCTCATCAGAAAAATGAATTTGGGGATAAGATAGTAATTTCCAGCTCTGACATTTTATGATTCTACATGCAAACAACACATTTTAAGAGCTGATTATTTAATATCATGGGTAGGGTTGAGGGGAGGGACACGGGAAAAATAAACCTGGGTGTGATTATAGATCGTTATTTAAGCTGCATAACGGGGCTCATTTTACTATTCTACTTTTTAAAAATTTCCTATACTTAAAGTTTAAAGAAATCTTTCAAAAAAGGGAACTAGAAATAGGTTATCATGTTTAAAAGGTAGGACAGGGAAAGAAGGAAGTTTATTTACAGGAGATTGGACACAGGATTTGATTAAATCCTGATTTCATTATAACATGCAAGCGACGGTTTTCCCAATGCGACAGAAGCTGTGGTTAGAGGAACATTCAGCTAGGCATTTTTAGTTCAAAAATAATAATAAAGCATCTGTGATAATTACATGCAAATCTCTAGCAAAATTATGAAGCATTAAACTTTAATTAATGCACGGCATTTCAGCGCTAGCAGAAGGTATTGCATTACTAAATATGCATCCAAGGGCCTTGGTTTCAGTCTGTAAGAATAGGATGCATTGAGTAAAGAAGAGGATTTCCTTTCTGCCTTCAGGAGCCTTCTCCTCCCTTGGGGAGATACAGGTCTTCATTGTTATCAGCTTGGAGACGCTATTGAGATGCCTGGGGACCATCTGACTGGGAGAGCTTGACCTGACCTCTGTTTTTCTTCCTAACATTAGTCAGTTCTTTTCCAACCTTGCAGGTGGAAGCACTGCACGATTTCGAGGCAGCAAATTCTGATGAGCTTACCTTACAAAGGGGTGACGTGGTATTGGTGGTGCCCTCCGATTCGGAAGCTGACCAGGTAAAGGATGAGATTGGAAAGTGCTGGAAGCTCTATAGGTTTTTTCCTAAGGTTCAGTTGGGCATAGTGACTTCCTGAAGTTGTTTGCATTTTCTGAGATGCTGAAGAGGATTTAAGGGCTTATGACCACAGTACATCACAAAATTTAGGTTTGGGATGCTATTACCTATTACATGGTTTATTTTTCATACAAATAGATGACCATTTCTTATTATGTATCCATTTTTTAGGGATGTCTCTCTGAAATTCAGTCTTCAGGAAATGCAGACACTCTTTTAAAATAGTGTTCCATTGTTTTCCAGTCTCTACACAGCTAATACTGTGAAAACAGGACAATGTGACTAACTGATTAAAGTTAACCAATAGAAATGTGTCCTGGGATGGTCTAGCTTTTGCAATTAGCAGTGAGAAATTTAAAGCAGTCATTACATTTCCCTGAGTGATTTTAAGAACTTCCCAGCATCATGTTTTCATCATTTCAACTATAAAGTGCTTAGGTCTTGTTTTTTCATACTTTTCTTGCTTGAGGTTCACTGAGCTCCTTGGACTTGTATCCTGATTATTTTCCACCACATTTGAAAGATTTTCAGCTGTTATTTCTTACTTTTTTCCTTTCTTCTCTTTTTCTCTAAGAAACAATTATACATATGTTGGACTTTTTATGTCTAAGACTATTCTTTTTTGTTCAGTATTTTCTTCTCTCTGGTACTCTGTTTTATAGTGCAGTGACCCTTTTTTGCACTACTTTGAATTTGTTGTTAAGGTTGTCCTGTGACTTTTTTATCTAGGATATTATCTACATAGTTCTATAATGTCTATGTTGTTCTGTTATATAGTTTTCATTTCTTTACTGAGATTTCCTATCTATTCTCATTATCACCATCTGTTAATTTAAGTCCATGACTATATTTGTAATGACCGCTTTAAATTCCTCACTGCCTATTCCAAAAGCTAGGCCATCCCAGGACACATTTCTATTGATTGACTTTTGTCAGTAAGTCACATTTTCCTGTTTTTCTCACCTGTGGAAATTTTCTTACGGTGGGTAATTCATTATTGAGTCTGGATTCTGTTTTCTATCTCTGAAGATTACTTCTTCCAGCAGGCATTCAAGCCACTGGATAATTACCTTGAATCCATGGAAGTTTCTTTTACTCACTTTGTTGGAGTGGGTCTGTTTCAGGTTTGCTATACTCTTAGGATAAAATCTTAGTCCTGGGCCATTGTCTCTACCTCTAAGACATGCCCCATCTGGAATTTCAATAGAAATCCTGACAGGTTTATCAAGCCCCCTAATTTGATGGCGTTTGAACTCTAAACTCTGCCTCCCCGCCACTCATTAGAATCTCTACTCATCTTTTCCAGCCTTCCTGCTTCCCCCAGGCTCCTTGGGCATCCCCCTTATGCATTCATAGTTTGGGGGCAGCTTAGGATTTCATAGAAGCTTCTCCGTGTATTCAGGGACTTTCCATGTATCTCTCTCTCTCTTTTTTTTTTTTTTTCAAGATATCCCCCATAAAAGTACAGCTGCTCAGGCAGCCCTTAACTCTATCTTCTGAATGCCCTGCAACACACAGACTGAGGAGAACCCTCAGGGGGAAGGCTGTACCAGCACAGATCCCACCCGCGCAGCACCCTACTTTCAAGAATTAAACCGTCTCTGATTTCTGCCTGCTTTTGGTGACTCTCAGTGCCTTCAAATGGTTGTTATATAAGTACAACCCCTTTATTTATAACAAGCCCATTATATAAACTTATATTTTATACTATATATTTTGTAGCAAAGTCATTTCTATATTAAAATAAGTGCATATATCTATACATATGTATATTAGATCTATAAAAATATATAGTTTTTCTAGAGCTTATAATTGCTCTGTGCAGAAGCATTTGTCTGCAACAAGCTATTTTACCATTAGCAAAATTGGAAATTCTTAGTCTACCACATATTTTAAATAGTTAAAATTTAACTTTTCTATTTCCCTCAGCTAAAGATTGATACTGGCTAATAATAGTTCAATTTACTATATAAATTTTATATCAGGTATATGTCTTGCAATATATCTTTTTATTGCATTTATTTTTATTGAGAGTATTACAGATATCTTGATTATAGGTTTGTGCCAGTCCTTTACTTTTGTTCTTTGTTGAAACAATTTTAAAGTGCTTGACTCTGCTTGGCACCATTAGATTTTTCACTCATTGTAAATAAAGTCAAATATAAAATATAGACACTTGCGGGGGAAACATGGCCTTTTGTACACTTACTCAATAAATTTAATTAAAAATAAAATGGAAAGAAAATATTTAGGTATCATCTTTTACTTTATGTATAACTTTGTCCTTCACACATATAACATCATAATTTTGAAGAGAATAATTTTTGTCATCACCTAGGATATTATCAGTTATTTTATTGTCAAATTTTCCCACTATTATTATTTCTGCTTTCAGAAATTGGCCTGTCTAAATGCTTATATTTCTTCTCTATAGAAGCATCAATTTATAGTCTCAGATTATATCACAAGAGAATGTATTCAGCTTCTTTAATTTTTGAGTTCCCATTTATCTGATGTACTTGAACTTCATTGGGAATTGGTTCAGATTAAATCTGGCCATCCTTCATCTTAAGAGGGATCTCTTTCGTGTATTGGTTAACATAATAAAGATAGTCATTCCCCACTAGCTTTGCTCCGTATGGTCTGTATGTTCATGTTGTTCCTTCAGCTCAGCTTTGCCCAAGTAGGATCTGCTTATCTTCATAGGCCAAGGGCAGACGGCCGCCTCCGTTCCTCAGTTTTACATGTCATCGCCCATGCCGTATGACCACACGGATGGGTTATTTAACCTTTCTTTGACTAAATGTCTGCAGTTCCATAAAATAGATACATGTTTATAAGCAATAATTTATAAAGAATATACGAATGTTCCCAACAAGAATATCATGACAACAAACTGCTTTGTACTTTATATAAACTTGAAAATATAGCTATTATAACAGCAACAATAACACAACAGTAACATCAGGCAACATACCTAGCCGTTATTATTTGATAAGCCCAGTATGTGTGGTTTATTTAGGTTACATGATGTGAGTTGAGGGAATGACAGAGTTCGTTATTAGCAAGTGGTTCAGGATGAAATACAAGAACTTTGATGGCCTTGTCAGCACTATATTCTAACCCAGGGGTCCTCCAGCCTTTTTGTCACTGTGACCCACAGGGCAAGAAATGTTCCTGTGCATGACATCCTTTTACATGTGTCCCTCTCTTTGTGCTGGCTATCATTCTTTTTAAAAAATATGTATATAATTAACTGATTTTAGAGAGGGAAGGAGAGAGAAATAAGGACAGAAACATCAATGATGACAGAGATCATTGATCTTGATCGGCTGCCTCTGCACGCCCCCTGCTGGGGATCGAGCCCACAACCTAGGCATGTGCCCTGACTGGGAATCTCCTGGTTCATAGGCCAATGAACAGTGACCTCTTGGTTCGTAGGTCGACGCTCAACCACTGAGCCACACTTTAATAACTTTGCTGGCTGTAATTCTAACCCTTTTCTTTTCCTTAACTCAAGTCATAATCCAGTTTGCCATCAATTAACTATAGTTTATACAAAATTATATTAATATCAACCTTCAGTCAGCCTTCCCACGGACCTCAGCCCAGCAGTTTACATGTAACCCAACATGTTGGTGCAGAGCCACGACACGAACTACACAAAGCACTTTGTTTAATGGCTGACAGTGCAGGTTTTCCCAGCGCTCGGACCTTGAAAGCCCTGTCTTTGTCTTGCAGGATGCGGGCTGGCTGGTGGGAGTGAAGGAATCAGACTGGCTCCAGTACAGAGACCTCGCCACCTACAAAGGCCTCTTCCCAGAGAACTTCACCCAGCGCCTGGAGTAGGGCCCAGGGGGTTGTAGGAAGACCCTGGTTTTGAGGTTTCTAAACCTTCATGAAAACCTGAAGAATTCACTTTTGCTATTACACTCTTGTGACTTGCAGACTGATGCCAGATACAGGTTGGAAGGATATATCAATGGAGCATGTGTGCAAAAAAAAAAAAAAAAAAAAAAGGGAAAAAAAAAAAAAAAAAAAAAAAAAAGTGTAAGAAAAAAAAAAAGCAAATGAAGGAGAAAGTCCTCGCTGGTTGCCATGTCATTCAGAACAAGTTTGTTTGTGCTGTGTCCGAGCTGTGGAGACTCTCGTACTTGACCCCCTCCCACCGATTCTAAAGTAGCTTTCTCCAGACCAGAACCTTAACTTGTGGTACCAAGTGTGTGGTATGGAGTGGCTGCCCTGCAGCAGACGTGCTGAATTATCCTGTAGTACAGGTTGTGTCATTCCCCAGGGCAGGTGTGCCCACGTGCGCACGCTCCTCTCTCTCTCTTACAAGTTTACTGTGTTTAAAACGAAAGTGCTGCAAACGTTTTCAGTGTTCTTTTCCAACACGCCTCTGTCTCTCTCTCTCTCTCTCTCTCTCTACATATATATATACATATATATGGACACAGTGCACGAGCTAGTTCCCATCACTCCTGGATCTATGTGTATGCACCAGAGGACATACGCATAGTTGCTTTCTTTCCATTGTAGCCCTTTGCCTCTCCAGTGTCATTGGTACATGCATTGCTCTTATTCTGTCTGGAGTTGCAGTTGCAGTTTTGCCTCAGAACAAAACCAGCCACCCCATTGCCAAAACAGTCGACAGTATCTGTGTTCGTCACGTGCATTTTTCGGGGTGCTGACCCTTTGGAGAAAGCAGAGCCTGATTCTCTACGTGTCCGGCTGCTGTGGCTGGAGGCAGGCTGGTCGGGATGAGCAGCGAACTTCCTAACTTCTGCCTTTAAGAGATTGGCTAGATGACGGGGCCTAGAAACCCACCCCAAAAGAACCCTTACAAAGAAGCTCCTCTATATTTCCACCTCCTTATATTTATGCGGCTCATCTTCACAGATTGTCCTACAGTAAGCTAGGTGATGTATGCTGTATTCACAGATCATCTGTAACGATAATGTTCTCAGTGCTGTGTCATTCCGAATAAACCTTTGGTCTGCTCCAGCAAGCACCCCTGTTCCTTCTGACGAGTCATTTGTTTGGAAAGCTGGTCTCAGTCGGATGCTCTACTTGGAACAGTTACGTTGGAGTTGTTATTTGTGCCGAAATCTGCTTGTAACCCTTGGTTGTGCTCCACAGCCCCCTCCCTTCCCCCCCACCCCTTCATTCCAGTGATTGCTGGTCACTGGGCCGTCCCCGTGGCCTGACAATCACTACAGCACAAATAACAGCTGCGGACGAAGGCCCCGCCGAGGTGGCGGCTGTGGCCCCCGGCCTGTGTATCACAGAGAATCTGACGACCTTCATAATCAGTGATTTCTTCTCACACCAGCCTCATTTCTTGGTCACTTTTCTTTTTGACATATTTATGTTTGTTAGGTACATACAAAGAAAAATAGATCAGGCGGATCGTTGTTTATGGAAGAGAATTCTTAACAGCAAAAACCTTTCGTTTCATGTAGACTCTTTTTCTGCCAGTATAATTCTAGACACAGTGGAAGCTGATCAAGGATGCACATTGCTAGACTTGGAATTTTGGTATGTATCTATGATTCACGGTTTGACTTCTCCGGGTGGATTACTGACTTCGATGTTTGTGTTAATAGGGCAATAGCAATGATCCACCCAAGATTTTGGGGTGGGAGGAGGCTAATTTCTGGGGAAACTGGGTCATCATGAATGCTAGTCTAATGCAAGAAAAGAACGTGCACAGCCCAGCAGCGTAACTGATGATTCAGCAAATAACGTGCAGCATTGTGAGATGTGTAGGAGAAAGCCATCCCTGACATTGAGAGTTCACCAAAGAGCTTGAAGGCTAAGACTGAAAAAGCAGCTCTTAAAATAAATGCACCTGATGTTCTACAAAGGTAATTGTCCCACCTCCTGGAGCGGTTCCCCCGGAATTTCTCTCATGCTCCCCCCGTAGCCAAGTAAACAGCTTGGCAGGATGTAGCTCCTTCAATAAGTTTAGCTCACACCTGTAACATTCCTGGAGGAATTTGACAAGTTCTTCCAAAATGACAGGCTTTAAATTAGCTGCTTTGCCCTAGTGTATAGTCTATGAAAAACTTTTTAACACCAAAGATGTAATCAGATTATTTGTTCCAGGAATTTTCAAGATCCTAAATTTTCCAAAGCAGTGAAAATTAAGAGGATGAAGTGGAAGCCGTGGGTGGTGGTATTCTCCAGAAATGTCTATAGACATGGAATGAACATTCTTTTCCATTTCAGTAAATTTTCTAAGGGACCTGTGAGGAGTTAGTATCAAGGACTTCCTATGGTTACTAGTTTGAAAGGTCCTTCCACCTCCCTTTCTCAATTAGTCTAATTCAAGTTCTCAGGCCACCAATCCACCTTGTGGCACGTCACCTGATCACGTATTGGTGAGTTTGTTGCTAGGCTGTATCACATAGGGCCTTGACCCCAGAACCCTACCCAAGCCTCCTCTTTGTATTTTAAGATTTTCTGACAAACCCAGTGGCACTCGGACCTTCAGATAGTTTAAAGGACCTTCAAAAAATCAGAAAAAGGAAGCCTGTGGGTTTTATTGAACACACACCTTGCTTGCATACCTACCAGTACCTACAGACATGCATTTAGACCTGAGCAATGTATCTACTTGCTAAGCTCTCTGGAAATTTGAATTTTAACAGTATTTCAGCATAGCCAGGGCCCTGGGATGGGAGGAGCTCTATGCACCATGCTGTCACCGTGCTTCCACACGGCTGGCTCCTTCTGACAAAGTTGGGGCAGCTTTTGAGTGAGCAGAACACCACATCCGTGCTGTGTGGGGCTGCCAGGGGGTGCAGGTCCAGAATTCGGAGCCCTCCTTTATCACATGAAGGAGCTGTAACCAGGCTACTAGACAAATTCCAGCAGGACCCATGGCTCATTCTCATGGTCCACTAAAGAAAAAGCCCTTAGGAAACTGCAAACGTTACAGTAAGTCAATGAGTTTAAAGAGGACTGAAGCTCTGTGCTTTATGCCACACAACTTGCACGGCCCAGCACCTCGAAGCCTTCGACATGGGCTGATTGCCTTGCTGGGACTCCGCTACTCTGCACAGGAGCCCAAGCTGCCTTCTGGTTTTTACTTGAAACCCAGCGGAGAACCTTACACACATTCTGTGCCAGACCTTGCAGAGGAGCTGGTCACACAGTTACCCGACGTGGCGAAGCCCACTCTTCCCAGCATGTTGCAGCCTCTTCTCAGGACCCGGATCACTCCCATTGGACATTCAGCAGCTGCCTGGAGAAGATGGCGACCCAGTTCTCCCAGCAAACTCAGAGGATCACAAGCCCCGTGGTTCTCATCGTCCTGGACCCCACCTGCCTCAGACCTGCTCGATTATGATTATCCCACCACACAGCGCGAGGCTCACTGAACCCTGGCTGTGCACGGCAGCACCTCCACCCCCACCCCCACCCCTCCTCCACCCCCAGCGCTCACAGTGGGAGTGCGATAGATTGTTCATGAAAGCCAAATAAAATAAAATAATGCCGAAATAAGCTTAGCAGTCCATCCCAATAGCTTGCAACTCATTGGCTATCCTTTTCTTAATTGTTTAATGCAGTGGTTCTCAACCTTCCTAATGCCGCGACCCTTTAATACAGTTCCTCATGTTGTGGTGACCCCCAATTTCATTGTTACAAATTGAACATAATTAAAGCATAGTGATTAATAACAAAAACAATATGTAATTCTATATGTGTTTTCCGATGGTCTTAGGCGACCCCTGTGAAAGGGTCGTTCGACCCCCAAAGGGGTCGCGACCCACAGGTTGAGAACCTCTGGTTTAATGGCAGCACATGTTGACTTTTTCACTTTAAAAGTAATTCAAACACAGCCCTTAAGTCTATGCAAATTGAGAGGAAGTGCTTTCAAAGGATATTTAAACTTTCTCTTGGTTTCCAAAACCCCAGTCAACTCCCAGTCTCCTCTGGTCTCAGGTCCACCGCTCAGCTGGCTCATTCTTCCAGGCTGGGTCAGAGCCTGAGCTTGCAGGGTGGGTCCCGCTGTTGACCCTGGACAGACACTTCCTGATGCTTTGTAGTGCCACACGCTGCTAACCTTCCCCTGCCAACAGATCAGTAAACTCGGTGTCCTCGTGCCCGGCTCTCCAAACACCTCCCAGTGACCACAAAGTGATTTCTGTGGCATTTGATGATGCCACCAAACTTTTCCAAACTCCAAGATTTTGAAATACTAGTTGTCTTTGTTTTCCTACCTCTCTGATTGCTCCTTCAATGTCCTCATTTTTTCTTGCTGTGCCCAGTGGGTGCTGGAGTGGGGCGCGGGGTGGGGCAATATCAATCTCCACCCCCCAGTTTGTATTCCAGCCTCCAGAGAATGTTTCCTGTGGACTCGGCATCCCATGACTGCTCCAAGTCCGCATGTTCATTTCTTCATTAAACATTTGCCAAGCTCTTGCTAAGTGTCAGTTACTGTGCACTGGGGCCACATTTACTAAGACTGC